TGATGTGGCCCTTGATCCCTTCTCTCCTGGAATTGCCCTTTCCATGGCAAACCAGCGATGGACGTGCACTACGTGCGCGGTGCGCACAGTCCACGCGGTCGCCAATCCTCCAGGATCACGATGGGGAAAGCCCAAGAGGGAAATTCATCCCCTCTGTCACGGGGATCGCCCTTTGTTACCTCTCTACCCGGGGAAAGGGCGATGGTTTGCTCCCAAGAACGAGACTCCAGGACATGGCGTCATCGGCATCGGGATCGGGGCAGGCCCCGCCTCGCTTTCCGCGGCGACCGCGCGCACGAAGTGGTACTTGGGCGGCGAAACGACTCACTCACCAATCAATCGGCACCCGTCGAGGTCCTGTCGCAGGCCGGGGTGGCTCGTCCAACTGACTCCGCTCCGCACGCCTTCCACGCCCTGACTGGCGAGCCGAAGCCGGGGCCCAGTCCAAGCAGCAGCTACCAAGCAGGCGGCAAAGCCTCGGGGCCCAGCGGGGCCGCCGCCGCCGAGCCCTGCTTCTGCCCCCCGGGCCCCCCGGGCTCCCCGCAGCCCTGCCGCGGCCCGCCTCTGTGGCGTGGAGCTGGGCCCCACCCCGCCCCGCCCCAGCTTGCGACCAGCTGCATGCCTGTATCGTCCATGGTTGCCGGCAAGCACAAGCAATGCCTGCCATGCCATGGGTCTCTTCCGCCCCGCCCCTGTTCCCTGTTGCGGGGACCGCGGGGGCCGGGGCCGGCGAGGCGGCGGCGGCGCTCGCACAGAGGACTCCCCCGTATTGCTCTTCATCAGTACCATTGTTAATTAATTGCTTACCTCATCAAGCTCGAGGCACTTGCCCCACTCCTTGAGAGTGATCAAATGGTCATCATCTGCGTCACACTTGTTGAGGAAAGGAGCGATGCAGTGCTCCAAAGCCATGAGAGGGGCGCGGATTGGGAAGAGTTCGTGCCGAGAGACAGATCTTTATGAAACAGGAAAATTTGATATAGAATCACTGCCTTTACAAAACTTAACATAATTGTAATGTTAAATGTTGTACCTATCAGCAGGATGACCATCCAAATCACACCACTTCCAAATGGCAGCATTGGTCCAACGTCGGGTTAGATTTGTTTCAGCTTCACGTTCAAGTTTCAGGAAGTATGGGGAGAGCTCATCACGGTCAGCCAAATCCCTCATGACGTTGAACAGCCAGTCCCTCATGCGACGAGGGAAGTCAGACATGTCTTCCTCAGAGCACTCTCTCATCTCTCTGCACACTCCATAATACTCAATGTGGACGTGCTTGTACTTTTCACCCTTGCACATCTCACTTCCATGGTCGCACATGCAGCGCATCTGGTAGATTTCACAGTCAGATCCCCAAGTTTCATTATGATTGGAGCACACCTACAACAAAAACAAAACCCTTTAAAATGAATCTTCCTAAATTAAATCTCTACTACATTTATTATTAATTTAATAATTATTAGTTACCTTTCTGCGTGGGTCAACTTCAATGGGGCAGCTAGGAATGCAGACACATTCAGGCTCACCAGATGCTGACACCTGGCACACTTTACCAGCTCCGCAGTACTTCTCTTGGCATGGATCTGGCAAAAACAGAAGTCAATTATCAAAGATTTGTTTAGAAATTTGTTTAGAAAATCTGTACAAGTAAAATCAAAATTATCTGCAGATATTGCAATGTATTTGTCTCATTCAACTTTTCTATATAGTTAAAATTAATTTCTAAGAAGTGTTAATTTATTATTGTTATCATTTTGTTTCATCATTGTTGTTTTAACCATGGGGGACGATCTCGTTCATCTTGACGTCCTCCTCAGCTTTTTGCTCGCTGGCCTCCTTCTCCTCCTCCTTCTCGTCCTCGGCGAGGATGGTCATCACATCCTGCTCGGCCTGCGCGGCCACCACGGCCTCGGCGGGCTGCTCCGTCGTGGTGGTGCTCAGGCGGTGCTTCCTGCCCTTCTTGTGTTTGCGCTAGAATCAAAGTAAAAGTCGATTACAGTACAGTCAATGGAATACAGTCAACCGTTAAAATATTTCTATTGTTCCAACGTATTTGTCACTTCAAAAGAAAATCCGCGCTTTAAAAAACTCACCACTTTCTCGGCGGCACTGACGTCAGCCACCAGCAGCGCCACGAGGGCAACCACCAACAAGAACTGCAGCTTCATTGTGGACCTGCAAACATAAAGTACGATTATCAGTCCACTGTAAAAGCAAAGCAGGTGCCGGTATTTCGGGAGAAGCGGGGAGAGGCGCGAGGCGCTTGGGGCATAGGGAATACCAACAGGTATCAGCTGAGATGTATGAGAAATTTCGATGCGTAATGAATTCCCCTTAAAGCAAATGGGCCTTGCGCAGTGAACGGAAACAGACAGGA